TCTTAAAGGGACTTCAGGCATTCTTACTGCCAGGTCTGCTTCTGATACCTAGAAGAAAACAAAACAAAACAAAACATCCTTTTATTTTTTATTTTTCAGTGCCCAGTGCTAACAGGCTCAGCCCTCTGCCTGGTTGCCCAGCAGTATGTGCAGAGTGGTTTACTGCCAGGTCTGCTTCTGATACCTAGAAGAACACAAAACAAAACAAAACAAAACATCCTTTTTTTATTTTTATTTTTCAGTGCCCAGTGCTAATAGGCTCAGCCCTCTGCCTGGTTGCCCAGCAATATGTGCAGAGTGGAGGTTGCCTTGGTGTGTAATCTGCCTACTTCCTTTTCAGAAAGGAAGAGGGCACATCCAACAGAACAAAGCAGTGTCATAGTGGACTGTCGCCTATGGAGGGGAGGAAGGGACATTTAGATTAAATGCAATTTTGGGGGGAGGGAGAGAAGGAAAAACTGCTAAAACTATATACAAAATAATAGCAATGTCACTTTAAAAGTCTTAGATTATGTCCCACTATGTATAGTCAAAATTCTGTGCTCTGTGGGCCCTTGGAGTCATTATTTGTGGGGTTACGTCACCAGGCTTGTATTCAGTTAGGTTCATTGGTTTCTATTTGTTTTTTAATTTCAGGAATTGCTTCTTTTTTTGGTTTGTTTTCTTAATATATATCATTTACCCCAATTCCACAGTTAACACTATATTACAAATTACAGCCAGATATGTCTTGCTTTCTTCCCTATTCCTCTACCCTCTTCATTCCTCCTTTTGTGTTGTTGTTTTATTTTTCCATCCTTTTTGTAGATATAAGCAAGTATGTATACTGAGTGAGGCATGCCCGATTTCTCTTTTCTTACACAAAATTAGCATACTGTATCTGTGGCACTGCACCTTGCTTTTTCTCTTGCCATTTCCTGGAGATTGCCCTATGAGCATATGTCATTTTCTTATCATTATTTTTGGCATGTGGATGCCACAGTTTATTTAATGCCCCCCCCACCCCAAGATAGGCACTTGGATTCTTTACAGTCTCTTTTTTTGCAAAAATGGTGCAATGCACATGTCATTGCACATCATTATATTAGGACAGATCCTAGGACTGGGGTCCTGGCTCAGAGGGTGCATGCAGACTTGCTCGTTACTGCCCAGTTTCCTTCCATGGCGTTGCTTCTGCATGACCGCCAGCCGTGTCTGAGACCGTTTCTCCGTAGAACTAGAACCTTCACAATTGGCTTTATGTTTTCTTCCATCTCAGTTGATTTTAGGCCTGTGTTTTAGAGACTATAATTCACATTTCTCTAGCGGTCACAAGCCTGTGTGTGCATGAGAATTTAGTGACAAGTGTCCTAAGGTGACATGAGAATGGGCAGCTTTGCTTAGAGTTCAGACTTTGCCTGTTTCCAGGGAGCTGGGAACACTGAGCAAACCACACATCCATTTGGAGAACAGGAGTGTGCAGCTTCTCCGGGTTCTGAGAGTCACTGGGTCACCTCACTTACATTTTATTTCAACTAATCCCAACAATGTTAAATTCATATTTACACATACACACAAAAGCATATTACAAAAAATCTATATTTTGTTTTCAAAATGATTTTTCCTTCAAAGTGAAGATTTTATTTAAAGACCTCTAATTTTTTTAGTGACAGGTTTTGAGGGGGGGAATGCTGCAATGAAAGTCCATGTAGATTCTAAGATGCCTCTTGATTTCAGAGTGAGTACAGTGTAAAAAAATATCAGGTTTCTTTGAATCAAGATAATATGGTTTCACTGAGAATAGAACGATAATGATACTTTTTATTTTTAACCATGAAATACATAATAATTTCTTCTATTAGACTTCATCTGTTGCTGGTTTGGTCTTCTCTGACTTAGCCTTTGAAATACACATCACTCTTATTTTTCTACCTTTCTGACTTATGCAGGCACTTAAGTCATTTTGTCTATTTTGCCACATATCTGTAATGTGAAAAAGCCAGACTTTTTGATGGTAGTCCAAAATTGAAGCTATAGTTAGGCTTACACCATAGACTGTAAGAAATATTAAACCAATTATGTGTCTAATGTTTGAACCAATCATATTGACTCATAAGCAGGATCATCAGAGATCTCATATTTTACCTTCTTTCAAGTCTTACTGACAGCCCAATGGGAAGGATTTCATTGATAGCTTTTTATTCTCCAAACTTTTCCTGCATCTCATGTTTTGAAAAACAGCTTTATTGAAATATATTTTATATACCATAAAATTCATTCTTTTTAAATTTACAATTCAATAATTTTTGGTAAATTTACCAAGTGACGCTACCATCTTAATAAATCAATTATAAATCATTTTTATTATAGCAATAAAATTCTTCATGCCCACTTACATTTAATCTTCATTCTCACCCCCAACTCCAAGTAATCGCATTCTACCTTTGGTCTCCTTACATTTGCCGTTTTTTACACTTCATGTAATGGAATTATACAGATTTCTCGTATCTCACTTTCACTTAGCTTAGCATAATGTTTTCAAGGTCCATTTATGCTTTTAGCATGTGCTCATAGTTCACTAAAGAATATTTCATTGTAAGAATATACCATACTATTTATTTACCAATTGATGGATATTTAAATTGTTTTTAGTTTCTGTCTATTATGAACAATGCTGCTATAATATTTGCATGGAAATCTTTGTGTGGGTGTATGTTTTCATTTCTCTTGGGTAGATACCTACAAGTGGAATTGCTGGTTCGTATGGCAATTATATGTTTATATATTTTAGAAACTGTTAAACTGTTTTTCCAAAGAGGCTTCTGCATCTCATTTCATCACTTTATTGTCAGAGGGAAAAAAAAACAGTTTCTTATCATTCATTCATTTATAAAACTCATTTGTTATTTCACAGGCATTGAACACTTGCCTTATCCTAAGTATTAATGATCCTATCTAATAAAAGGGAAACATGGTAATTAGCCATACCTCCGCTACCCTTCCCATTGGCTAATCAGGGTGATATGCAAATTAACTGCCAGCCAAGATGGTGGCCAGCAGCCAGGCAGCTTGAAGTGAACATGAGGCTTGCTTGCTTCACTGACGGAGGACTCCAACGTTCCCCACCTGCCTTTCAGCAGAAACCCCAGAAACCCCAGAAACCTGCTTTCAGCGAGCCAGGATCTCAGAGCTGGAGTTATACATTGTTTCGATTATAGAACCCAAACAAACCAGATACCTGCTTTCAGCAACAGAGGCCTCAGAGCTGGAGCCAGAGCTAAAGGTGGCCCAGAATAAAAACAAAAAAGGAAAAAAGAGCAGTTGGGAGCTTCAGGCACCCGCCAGCCTGAAAACAGCCCTCAGCCCCTCACCCAGACTGGCCAGGCACCCCAGTGGGGAC